ATACGACTCGAGTCGCTTTATAGTTAGGGATAGGGATAGTTATACTGTTTGTACTTGTGTGTGTTTGTGCTCTGGTGTGTGTGGGAGGGGGACTGCCGTACTCGAGACATTAAGATAAGACTGCAGCGCATACGTAGTGTTGCTGCAGTTAATATGTCATTTTCGGAGGTTGATCAATGTTATGTGAATGGTGGTAAAAACGTTCTCAGAATGTCAGGAAAACTTTCCTAAAACACGTTATTAGAACGTTACTGAATAATGTTCTGCTAACCTAAAAGTAAAAGAAACATTCCCATAACATTCAAGGAACATAACTTTGTTAGCTGGGCTGGTACTATCTAATATGCCGGACCGTACCTCCCCTACTTCACTAACGAGTCTGGGAAGTCGCTTACGCCTACTCGGACTCCCTAACCCTAACCCTAACTCTAACACTAACCATATCAAATAGTGACCAGGGTACGTTCCGCCTTCCGGTATACCTGACCGTACCTAGGGTACGTTCCGGCAGTACCCTGGGGGACATAGACTACTAGTACTAGTGTTAATTACACGAACAATTTCTTAACTATGCCTACAGAAGTCATGCTGTAGACTAGAATTTAATCTAAAGTACCTTGAGGTATTCGTCAACGTTGCAAATGCAATGCAGGTTAGAGGATAAAGCACGCGTAGATCTAAACCGACGGCCAGGCTCTCCGACTGTTACACGGCGTAGGACGCAGTGTTACCTCTCGCCAACGAGAAGTTGAACTTGTGGCTAGCGTAGATCGTGTATCGAAACTGGCAGCACAAAAGTCAAATACGATTTAATTACACAGTACAGTGAGTACTAGACAGACATGACAGCAAGGAAGTTCGGGCCATGATTCGAAGCAAAGCGCGAAAAATTATAAGATAAGAAGCCTAAAATACAAAGAATTATTATTATTATCAATTATGAAAAATTATGCAAAATGAGCAAGCAGTTATGATAAATTATGGAATGTATTTCTGTGGTTGTGCTTAATATTTTATAAATTACCCTACAAATAATTTCTAGTCAATATTATAGAGGGCAGCAGGCTCCAGCCGACACTGTCTTGTTAGGAAATAGAGAATGGGAGTTTTTTTTCACATTGTCGTTCCCGTATTCTTTTTATTCTTGTTCTCCACTTGACTCTCCTTGTTGTTCCTATTTTTTCTCACCTCCCCTTGACTTTCTCTTTCTTCCTCACCCCCTCTCCCTAGTTCCTTTTGGCTCTTCTCTTCCTCCCTTTGCCATCTCCTCTTCTTCCTCCACTACATCTCCTCTTCCTCCTCCTCCTCGTCCTCCACTACCTCTCTTCCGCCTCTTCCACCACTTCCCTCTCCTCCTTCTCTTCCTCTTCCGCACCACCCTCCCCTTCCCCTCTTTCCCACTTCCCTTCCATCCTCCTCTTCCCACTAACCCTCTCCTCCTTCTCTTCCCCACTACACTCCCCCCTCTCCTTCCCCACTACCCTCTCCTCCTCCTCTTACCCTCCCCTCCTCTTTCCCACACTACCCTCCCCTTGCCCACTACCCCTCCTCTTCTTTTCCACTACCCTCCCCTCCTTTTCTTCCCCACTACCCTCTCATCCTCCTCTTCCCCACTACCCTCTCCTCATCATCTTCCCCACTACCATCTCCTCCTCTTCCCCACTACCCTCTCCTCCTCCTCCTCTTCCCCACTACCCTCTCCTCCTCCTCCTCTTCCCCACTACCCTCTCCCCCTCATCTTCCCCACTACCATCTCCTCCTCCTCATCTTCCCCACTACCATCTCCTCCTCCTCCTCTTCCCCACTACCCTCTCCTCCTCTTCCTCTTCATACCTTTTCCTTCCCTCCTCACCTTACTTCTTCTTTTTCGTACACATAATTTTTGTTTGGATGTGTGGTGACTGGTGTGGCGTGGCGTGGCGTGGTGGGGGTGGCGTGGGGTGGCGTGGCGTGGCGTGGTGGTGGCGTGGTGTGCGGTGGGCGTGGGGTGGCGTGGCGTGTCGTTGTCGTGGGGTGGGGTGGCGTGGCGTGGCGTCTGGCGTGGTGTGGCGTGGCGTGGCGTGATGTGGCATGGCGTGATGTGGTGTGGCAACGTGTAGCATAGAATAAAGTCGGCTATAATCCTTATCATTCATTACCTCCGCCAGGGTCTTGGCGAAGGTTATGTTTTCACCGGCGTGTGTTTGTTGGTTTGTGGGTTTGTGTACAGCCTAACTGGAAAAGTTATAGACGGATTGTCATTACATTTTCAGGATACGTCAGAAATGGGCTAACTTAGAATTGATGAGATTTTGGCGGTGATCCGGATCCAATTAATTAATTAATTAATTAAATTTTCAGAATAGGTCAGAAACGGGGTAACTTAGAATTGATTACATTTTGGTGATGATCCGAATCCAATTTATTAACTAATTAATTAATTAATAAAATTTTCAGGATAGGTTCAAAATGGGGTAACTTAGAATTGATTACATTTTGGTGGTGATCCGGATCCAATTAATTATTTAATTAATTAATTAATTTATAAAAATTTTCACAGTGAGAGAATTCAGCTGCCTTGGCGGAGGTCTGCGCTCTCCAAGTGCTCTAGTTAGAAATGTGTTACCTATGACCTCGACTAACAACGGGCCAAACTAACACGCGCAAGTGACTTGCAAGGAAGATGCCACAACAAAATAATTTAAAATATTGCCCATTACCTTGATAATATGCCCAGATTGACAAAGCCAATTAAAACACATACACATCAAGTATACAAGCATGAGGACATGGCTATAATTTTACTTTATTACATATTAGTTAAAAAATACATACATATATGCAATAGCAAACAAATAATACATCACAGTCTAATGTTTCATTTCGAATTGAATCACCTGAATGCAAAACAGCATTCGATTTAGACATGTGACTGCACATCAGCATATCACGATAACGACATTTTCATACTATCAACGTTGATATAAAATATAGCTAATATATGCAACAGGAATATAAAACAAAGCTTGGACTCTCAGATTACATGTCAACATTTAAAATAGATGTTAACTTCATATATAAATTATGTGCATATCAGACTTTTAAGAAGTTCCCGAATCAGGATCCCTAATTGAACTGAAACGAGTTGACTGGCATCACATTAGATCTGAGGTGAGCATTGTAGGGTTTGTCATTAAGGAGTTGGTGATAAAGGCACCCTCTGTGGTAGCAATCAGCAATCGCAGCTACTGACGGACAGTTCAAATTCACTCAAGAACTCATGAGACATCAGCTGCGCCTGTAGCTCAGGCTCCGAGGGTTCAGCCAATACATCTCTATAAAAAAACACATTAAAACAACTGAACAACACTTCATATGTTGGGTAAAATTATATACAGGGAAGGTGTGCGTATCATAAAAATTTAAGGATAAAGCTGGGGGTTTTCACATGCAGTTTCCCCACACATCCTATTATCTAATAAATGCTATTATCTGTACACATCCTACTATGTGGTAATGCTATTATATCTGAACACACCCTACTATATGTAGTAATGCTATTATGTGAACCAATCTTACTCAGAGACAATGGTTAGTAGCCGACAACAACTCGTTATATGACGAACGAAACAGTACCTAAAGAGATCCTGGGGGGTGGTGCCGTGGTACCGAGAGAGCTCAATTTCCTCGTTCCCAGATCGCGAGTTGTGGTCCCAATTCATGACGAAGGCCTCGAGAATGAGAGCCATAAAGATGTTGAGACAGATGAGAACGGACACAACGTACCAGCTGACAAAGTACAGCTGTGACCACCTGCACACAGAGAGACATAGTGAGTGGTGCCATCTACATTCAGCTAAATAAGTGACGACGCGTACACTCAAGTGCGCACATTATGAACAAGTGTATAAGCAAGTGAAGCCATCTATACAGCATGACAAATAATTTGATTTTAAAATGAATCTAAACGTGCACGCGCGTGCGCGCGTGTGGGTGTCTGTGTGTGTGTGTGTGTGTGTGTGTGTGTGTGTGTGTGTGTGTGTG